AAAAATTCATATGGGTACAGTGTTGCATGACCGCGCAATTGTCATTCAAAAAGTGTGATAGCACGGGACAGGAATGGGGTAAAAGTGTCTGGACTGGAAGTGGTTAAGGGGGAAAAAAGAAGAAAATAAACAAACATTCTAACTGCAAAAATCATATATTACTGAAATGGTATCACACTCACCTTGGCCATAGATCAACAGGGATGTGTTGGCAACCTAAAAGCTTACCATTGCAAATTTGTTGGGGATACCGAATGTTGGTATTATTGTGTTACACTATTTGATTTATTATAATTTCTCTGTGACCGTTACTTGTTTATCATTGCTCTGTGTCTTTAAGCTGTCTCCTTCTGTCTAAGCTGAGCTCTCTCTCTCATTGTACTTGTGTATACTCCTCCCCCCCTGCCTCTCTCTCTAATCATTCCACTGTATCCTGTCTTCCTGAATGCATCTTCCATGAGGCTTACAACATTAACATTTTTCTACCTATGAATATTCGCCATTAAACAGAACAGTGGAATGGGTTTCCTCATCTGACTTCCTCAACATGTGAGTTTATTCATTGAGTTAAACTATCTGACCCGATGCAAGAGATAGATTCAACACCACGTGGTATAGCTGTATACATGGCGGGAGATAAGGTTTATCGTCCTGTAGTCGAGTCAGAATTGGTATCCTGTGAAACAGGCATGACCAGAAATGCGTGGACTTGCACAGAGAACACCAGGCACAATAATAATGTAAAATAATATAATTTATTAAGAATAAATTATTAAAAAAAATATAAACTCACCTCCAAAGTATCAGAACTGCATAAATCACACCAGAGAATATAATAAGTGAGTGAATGAACGACTGCCCAAACAAAATATATACAGATAGCAGGATATGAAAAGTGTAGTTGGTGTCAGGGCCAGGGTCATACACAGGAGATCAGGCAGAAGGAGCAGGGAGAATGCCAGGACAGGGTAAACAGGAGAAGGAACAAGCAGGCAGGTAAGGGATAAGGATGCATGAACACAGGTCAGAGGCACATGGCAAAACACCAAGTCAAAGAGAAGAAGCACATGCAAGGTTTGAATACACTTCCTGCAACACACATCAGATGAAGCCTAATTACCATGAGCTTTTGGCTCCTGTGAGACACCTGCTGGTGGACACCGGCACTTCAGCCTACAGATCTGGGAGCCACAGTGCCACCAGCAGGTGGACCCCTTCCTGACAGAATCCTCTCAAATCACCTCCATAACTCTCAGGACTTTGGAGGTATGGTAAGAGTATGAGTGCTTTCCCATTGCCAATGCCTGGTCTTGATTGTTGAGTGAAAGAGCTGGACATGGAGCTTGACAGATGAGTGGGCTAGCTGAGCCTAGGTTTTACAAAAGAGTGTGATAGTTGAGTATGGGTTTGACAGCTGACTGTTTGCGAAGGCCAAGTGGGCTAGTTGGGCCTGATCTTGAAAGATAATTCAGCTAGTTGGGCCTAGTCTTGAAAGCTAAGTGGGCTAGTTGGGGCCTGGTCTTGAAAGATAATTCAGCTAGTTGGGCCTAGTCTTGAAAGCTAAGTGGGCTAGTTGGGCCTGGTCTTGAAAACTGAGTGGTCTATCTGGATCTGAGCAAAAAAGCTCAGGTGGGCTAGCTCAGCCTGGGATTTACAACATGGCGGAATAACCGAAATTGGGCTCGGCAGCTCACTAGAACAGCTTGAGTCTAAGCTTGACAGCTGAAAAAGTTAGCTGAGCCTGGGCTTGGTTTGAAATCCACACTCTCCATCCTGTTCTTTCTGTTAGGATGGATCAGATTGGTCAAATTGGCCACATGACGGTGCTGACTAATCAGAATCTTTCTGCCCCATCCTGGAAGCCCTGCAGAAACAAGGGGAAGAAGAACAGGGATTTCAAATCACAGAACTGCTACGCTGACTGTGTGGGCAACAACATCTCATCATCCACAGAGGCAAGTACAGTGGGACCTGGGGGAGGGTGTACCATGTTAGTTCCCCTTTTCATTTTTTTTTTCTTTTAAATGTGAGCTGACACTTTAGCTGTAATTGAAGATGTTTTTATTAAGTTGCCCAGCAAAATATCATCCCACCATAGGCTGGTATATTGTTGATGAGATAAAATGTCCCTGCATTAGTGTCAGTGAAATAAAATAAGTCCCAATGTTGGTATCAGTTGGAAAAAAATAAGGCCCATCATTGGTGTCAGCGAGAACAAAGTGTAACCCCAGCCCAGCATTGGTGGTCAGTGGTGGTACTTACCTGATCCCACCCTCCCGCTGCCTCTCTGCTGATGTCGGAGTTCTATTTTCCCTGTCAGAGAGGAGATCACGGCTCCCAACAGTCTGGTATCATTGCAGTGCTTGGAGATGGAACCCGGAGAGTGTTCCAGCCGTCATCACCTCACTGCCTCTCTGCATTAGGATTGCCACCTCATCATCCCTTTAAAACCTGAACACATATTATATACACGGGTTCTGAGGCTAATTTAATGCAAATAAGGCACTAAGTGAGTTTAATTACCACCTTAATTGGCAACAGAACCCGTGGAACTAATGTGTTCCATTTTAAAGGGATGTGGAGGGCAACCCTACTCTGCATAGCGTCCTGGAACTTATTTATTTTTATTTATTTTTATTTCAGGTACTTATATAGCACCGTCAATTTACGCAGCACTTTACATATATATTGTACATCAGTCCCTAACCCTCAAGGGGTGTACAATCTAAGGTCCCTAACTCACATTCATACATACACATACTAGGGACAATTTAGACCAGATCCGATTCACCAACCAAGACTTGCAAGACATGAACACAATGGGGCAGAAGCCAAAATCTCAGGACTGTCCTGCAGCTTCTGAGACACTTGGCAACAATGACAACGCTGTGTTCAAACTATGATGTGTCTCGGGGCTGCAGTATCTCTGAACTCCAAAATGTGGTGATCTCACTTCTACCCAGACAGGAAGTCTCTATGACAGACAGGAAGTGATGTCAGGTGCAGTCAGGAAGTGATGTCAACTACAGACAGGAAATTCCGGGTGAGGTGGGAGGAAGTAGAGAGGAGACGTTGGTTGAAGTGGCAGCAGAGGAGGTAATAAGATGTTATTTCCTATTTACACCCAGTAACCCCCCGTCATGTCCATTCTCTTCCTCCATAGTCACGTCCGTCCTCTTCCCCCCCCATAGTCACGTCCGTCCTCTCCCCCCATAGTCACGTCCGTCCTCTCCCCCCATAGTCACGTCCGTCCTCTCCCTCCATAGTCACGTCCGTCCTCTCCCTCCATAGTCACGTCCGTCCTCTCCCTCCATAGTCACGTCCGTCCTCTCCCTCCATAGTCACTGTGACGTCTTTTATCTCCAGCAGATGATGATACACACATATATAGTGTGGGAACCCAGATTAACCCCTTCAGGGGCACAACATTCCCCCACTTCTGGGGCCGGAACATTCTCCTCATTGTGGAGATGGGTCACCTTCTCACCTTAGCAGTCTCTAGTAATGGATTATATGACTTATCAGTGGTGGGGGATGGGGGGTTATTTCGGGGGGATTAGAATATATATGTCTCTATTTTAAAGATTCAAACAGGAAGAAAGAGGGAAAATGTCATTTGTAGGAAATGTCCTGAAAACGTATTTCTCCGGAATGATCCCAGTCTCAGATATTCATCCTGAAATGTGATCAGTAAAGTCTCCGGAGAACACGGAGATCACAGGGATAGGATGTGTCCTGGCAAAGCCCAAAGACAACGTTCATCTTTCAGTTTAGGAGAGGTGGGACGCACCCGGGAGAAATGATTCTGTGTACAGAAACCTCACAGAGCGCCCCCCACAGCTCCTCCCCCCATTGTCCTCCAACCAGAGTCAGAAAATCATATGACATCACATTGATCTCACAGCTTGTAAGAGGGTCTTAGTGGTTGGATAAATTTGGTGCCCAAGCACAAGGCCTTACCCCCACTCCAGCTCTGCTAGAACACATTCCCACCTGACGTGGCTGACTCCTCTGCCATCTTGTGCCGTGCTCCTTGACGTAGGCCTCCTCATGACATTTGCAGCCATAGACCTTTATATCCCAAAGAAGAAATGTACACACAGTAAACAGATTCAATGCACTTTACTGGTGTTTGGGAAATGGCAAGACCGTCACATCACAAGGACATACAGTACATTCTGGAATTGCTTGACATACATAGTAAAGCACATAAAGTGGACACTCCGCAGTAGTCATAGGTGAAAGCATGTGTAGCACCTCACAGTCATCTCCTTGCAATCATAAGTACTCATAGGACTGTATTCTCTATAGACACCTCCTAGCTGGGTACACCTCTCCCGGGAAACCCTCCAGGGAAGAAGCCTAATACAGGGATCTCCAGCCTGGTCTGAAAGGCCTTTTGCAATATGCCATAGACCTCACCTCCTTAAGGGACAGAATGACTACAACCAGCTCCTCCTGCATACAGGTTCAATCCACGCAGACTTGTGCTCTGTCCAGGGTCTATGTGTGTTACGTGCTCACAGGTGTGGGGTGTTTACCTCCCATGCCCCAAGTCTGACTGTGTCCCTTCCCCACCTTGTTTATTGTGGGTGCTGACTCACCCCTGATAACACTTGTGGGAGGGCTCTACCTAAAAGGGGCCTAACACCTAGTGTCACTGTCTGCTCCTCCACCTGAACAAGGAGGTGAGGAGGATTCTGGGAATATCATTTGTTTTTACTACTTCTGTTCAGATGTAGAGTTTTCCTCCTGTGAAGTTTGGAGATCATATGACATCACATTGCCTCCACCTCCCTCCCTGATAGAAGAGAGAAAGAAGAAGAAGATTCTAGAAGTCACCAGAGAGATCACTGAGCTGCTGACAGGAGAGGTGAGCGGTGCCGGGAATTCTGGGACATTCTCCAGTAACAGACAAGGGATGTGTCTGGATGGTGACTGTATCATTGTGTGTGTCAGGTTCCTATAAGGTGTCAGGGTGTCACTGTCTATTTCTCCATGGAGGAGTGGGAGTATTTAGAAGGACACAAGGATCTCTACAAGGACGTCATGATGGACAATCAGCCGCCCCTCACATCACCGGGTAAGAGGAGACTTTATTGTAAAGGAGAGAGCAGTACGGAGGATCCACCTAGATCCCCCATCATCTGATAAACACATAGAAACAATGGATTCAGTCAGTGTGTGTGTTTCCTACAGATGGATCCAGTCATGGGAACCCACCAGAGAGATGTCCCCGTCCTCTGTATTCCCGGGATTCCACACAGGAATGTCACACCATCCCTCACCATCATCAGGTAGATGGATCCAGTCATGGGAACCCACCAGAGAGATGTCCCCATCCTCTGTATTCCCGGGATTCCACACAGGAAGGTCACACCATCCCTCACCATCATCAGGTAGATGAGGAACAATCACTGATAGTATCATTAGGATCTGTACATTATCTGCATTGTTACCATTGATGTCATTTTTATTATATATATTCAGAGTGGAAACTTGAGAGATTCTAACTTTGAGGTTAAAGAAGAGATAAAAGAGGAGGATGAGGTGATGGAGTCTCTAAAAGGACACACAAATCAGTACCAGGACACCATGGTGGAGTCATCCAGCTACAGGAACCCACCAGAGAGAAGTCCCCATCCTCTGTATTCCCGGGATTCCACACAGGAAGGTCACACCATCCCTCACCATCATCAGGTAGATGATGACAATTATTGGTAGTTGTGATTTATACACAGCATGTTTGTTACAATGAATGTTTTATTATATCTTTCAGAGTGGAATCCTCGGGGATGATAATGTTGTTGTTAAAGAAGAATTTAAAGAGGAGGATGAGGAGTATGGGGCGATGAAAAATTTTCAGACGGTCACAAGGATATGATGGAGCCACCTAATACCAGGAACCAACCAGAGAGATGTCCCCGCCCTCTGTATTCCCGGGATTCCACACGGGAAGGTCATACCATCCCTCACCATTACAAGGTTGGTGCAACAGAGCATCTACTGTAGTACATGGACTTGTAGAGTCAATGTGTGGATTTTTTTATGTGATATCACAAAATTAAAGCTCATATTTTACAGATGATATTTTCTCTCATTTTCTTGATTTAGAGTGGAGATCCAATCAATATAGAATTCAATCTTAAATCAGAAGAAGAAGAGGCGTATGTGAGGGATGATCAGCAGTCTATGGAGGAGGATGGAATAACGGGGACATTTATAGAGGAGGACACTCCTACAGAGATCAGCACAGGTGGGTCATGAACACTAAATCCATTCCTCCACCCATACTGCTCACTGATTGGTCCAGAGTAGGGCGGGGACTGGGTGATATCAGCCTGTAATCCCCTGGTCACTTTCCTGAGCTGTGTTCCCCGTCCTGTATTCCTGGATTTCTCTGGGATAATCTTCCTTCTCTGTGCTGCAGACACAATTTATGTATCTAGACTGGATTTTATGGAGATTCTGGGGTTCAGCTGGCAGCAAAATAATCTTCTTCATAGGCATTATTTGACCTTGCACCTGGGACCTGTGTCTTGGGGTGATCTGTCCCATACCCGGGGTCTACCAAGATCTCTAAGAGCAAATCTCCCAGGGTTACTTGCTCTGTAGTCTGCTGGCTGTGCCGGGTGGAGGGATATGTCTGTATAGTCTCAGACCCAAGTCACTGAGTGCAGTCTCAGGAGATGGGAGGCAGCGGTGTGGGACCTCTGCAACTTGTCTACAGTAAACATTTAAGCTTCCACTGAATACCAATAATTTGAGTCTTGATCTTTACACTGTATAATTTATATTGTACATTACATAGGCCTGACTGCACCTCTGTGTATAATATACAGTATATCTACTTTTGTCACACTTATTTTCTCCCAGCTGGACATTTTATATAGGATGATGTGATTGGAGCACAGACTTTTACATGGTGATAATAATGTGATAACATCCTCCAACTTTGGACCCTTAAACAGAAAGTGATAATGAGGGAGGAGTCAATACCCCAATGATGGTGGTCTTCAGGATCAGTCCAGTCTTCATCTTGGTTGTTCTCCCCCCATCCTCACTCTCTGACCTCTGGTGGGGCTCAGCCCCGCTGTTCTTCATGACTAAATCATGGACTAAATAAGGAAGTGCAGTACTTCTTGTGTTGGGAAGATGGTCGATGAGTGATAGAGGGGGTGGGGACCCTCGTCCTATAATCCCCTCATCACTGTCCCTCTTATAAAAGACAGTTCTGGTTGTTTCCTCACTCTCTGACTAAGGTCCATGAATAAAGAAATGACCTGGTAGGAGATCAGAGGAGCCATTTCCTAGTTCCCTTGAGGGTGGAATTGTAAGCCTCAGGGATCAAGCTGCCTGATGTGGGCGGAGTCCTGGTTTGGGGGAACCAATCAGCTCCTGTCTAGTAATCCTCTTTGTCTTTGTATTTTAGTCCATGGCCAGGAGATGAGGAAAACCTCAGAGGATTGTCTCACTTTGTCTCCAGCCTGGAAAGTAGAAGATGAGGACATCACACAGTATAGTCCAGGAGAAAACCCGGCTCCCTCCAATGTCCATCCGGCACCACCCAGTGTAGATGGACCATCGGATTCCTCCTATCCTGAGGAACCTCAGACTGTGCGGGACCGGGCCGGCCTTCCAACAGAGAAGAGCTTCTCCTGTGCTGAGTGTGGGAAAGGATTTTCACAGAAGTCCAATCTTTATAGACATCAGAGATTGCACACAGGGAAGAAGTTGTTTTCCTGTCCAGAGTGCGGGAAAAATTTTGCAGATAAATCAAAGCTTGTCACACATGAAAGGTCTCACACGGGGGAGAAGCCATATTCTTGTCCTGAGTGCGGGAAATGTTTTTCACAGAAGCCCCATCTTTATAAGCACCAGAGGTCTCATATGGGGGAAAAGCCATATTCGTGTCCTGAGTGTGGAAAATGTTTTACAGTGAAGGCCAATCTTTCCATACATCAGAGATTGCACACAGGTGAGCGGCCGTTTTCCTGTCCTGAATGCGGGAAATGTTGTTTACAAAAATCAGATCTTGTCAGACATCAAAGGTGTCACACGGGTGTGAGAAGCCAAATTCCTGCCCTGAGTGTGGGAAATGTTTTTCAGCCAAGTTCAGTCTTTACAGACATCAGAGATTACACACGGGGGAAAAAACCACATTCTTGTACTGAGTGCAGAAAATCTTTTGTTCAAAAATCAGATCTTGTCACACATCAGAGATCTCATACAGGGGAAAAGCCGTATTCTTGTCCTGAGTGCGGGAAATGTTTTTCAGATAAGTTCTGTCTTTCCAGACATCAGATGTCTCATACGGGGGAGAAGCCATATTCTTGTCCTGATTGCAGGAAATGTTTTTCACAGAAGTCCACTCTTTACAAAACATCAGCGATCTCACGGGTGTAAAGCCGCTTTCCTGTCATGAGTGAGGGAAATGTTCCTCACTGAAGTCCTGTCTTCCTGTACATCAGGTGTCCCACACAACCCTGGAGGTGTATTAGTGCCTTGAGTGCAGGAAATGTCTTCTAGATGAATGTTGCTGGACATCCCAGCTCTCATGTGGGGAAGAGGCACTCCCTGATATACACCTCAGATATACTCCATGGCTGATCTTCATCATGGAAGAAACAGTTCATAAGGAGATCAGAGGTCACCAAAGACATGGATGAAGTGTGGGACCAGGTTGACAATTGATAGCAGGAGAAAAATAAAAATGGAGTCCTGACGTCTCATTGGTGGAGTACATTTGTGGTGGAAGCTTTCACAAACACTTAGAGGTCTGTTAAGAAAATTAGTTAAATGAATGTAACACGCCTTTGCCCAGCCATAACAAAATGTCAGTAGTCTTTTATTTCATACTCTGGTTTCCTATGACCATTAGTTCCATCTGTGGTCATAATGCAGTACTGCATTCTTACCGATTGAGGTATTCCACTTAAAAGTAGAAGCTCAGCTTACTTGCTTCCTCCCCCCTTCACTGCCATATCTGCCACCTTTTGAGAGGGGAGCGGATACCCGTTTTTTTTGGCAGGTACCTGCTCCCACTTCCGGCTCAGTTCGCTGCAGCAAAGTGAGCCAGAAGTTTGGCCCTCTCCTTCCTCCTAGGTCCCAGAAGACTGCCAGACCCGTGAATGCACAGCACATCTCATACATGCGCAGTGGGCACCCGTCTGTGAAGGCGCAAGCTTTCACATCTAGGTGACCACAGTTGTGATGCAGGTGCCGGGGAGAGAAGAGGCAGAGAAGGGATGGCACGAGTGAGCACATCGCTGGACCCTGGGACAAGGGAGTGTGTGTTTATTAACCTCCCTGGCGGTATTCCCGAGTGTAGCTCGGGGTAAAATGTTAGTACCAAGAGCAGTAACCCCGAGCTACACTCGGGCTTACCATGCGGCGTTGCTCAGGGAGTCCCTGCAGCAATTACCTTGTCCTTCGCTCCCGCGATGTGTCCCCTGCAGCGTCCCCGGCCGATGCTGGCATCCGGCTTCCATGTTCCGGTCCCTGTGACGTCGGGACGTACGGGCGCCGGAACTGGCGGCAAATTTTAATTTTTTTTAAAAAATGATTATTACATAGTAAAACATTGCTGTTTCAATGCATTTCACATACATTTTGTCCCGAGTGCTTTGTCCGGCGCCCCTGCCTGCATTTTTACTGTTCTTTCTGCCTGGAAACCTAGAAAAGTTCATGGCGTCCAAAAAGCGTCCCTTTTACGTCAAAAGCGGTTTTAGACCGGCTAGAGAACAGCGATAGTAAATCAGAACCACTTGCAGAATTGAGTGATAATGATTCGTGGGGGAAATTCGTCAGACACTGAAACCGATTTTGCGACTTTGCTCAGCGATGTGCGACTTTGCCTCTGTATTTAAAATTTCAGTGTTTTTGATTATATTATTAAATTTATTATATTATTTATTAAATAATTTATGATTTCATGGTTCAAATTTTATCCTACCCAGGATGTTTACTAGACTCTTGTTCATACAGATTTCAGTGAGTTATTCCTAAAAATTACAGGCCTACAATAAAAAAAAAAAAAAAAAAAAAAAAAAAAAAAAAAAAGAATCATACCGCCGAGGAGGTTAAAAAGTCAGCAGCTACACTTTTAATAAAACACGAAACTGACTGGAACTCCACTTTAAAGCCATTACTTTATGCCAAGTAGTGGGTTACCAGGTATAGATCCATTTCACTATATCGAGCTCAACTTCAAACTGCTACAAATTAGTGATCTTACTGTCTAGCAAATTGTTACGTTTTATATTAACTCAGTGTAACGGAACCGGACCCCGACTGCACCAGGATATTTCCATTAGACTTTCGCTTCCCTGTCCGAACACGGACACCACCACTGACCATACATGACGAGACAACACCAGTCTTGTAATAAATCGGGAAA